CGTAGATGATCACATGGATGATCACATGGATGATCAAATAACTGATCAAGTAGATGATCAAGCTAATGAAGTAAATAAGCTAAGAAGGAGTAAAAGGTCTAGAACCACAAAGTCTTTTGGTCCAGACTTCTTGACTTATATGTTAGAGGGAGAAACTCGAACGTTCCATAAAGCTGTGGCTTCACCTGAAAGTCCTTTATGGAAAGAAGCAATTAAGAGTGAGATTGACTCCATCTTACAGAACCATACTTGGGAGTTGGTTGATCTACCCCCAGGCAGTAAGGCCTTGGGGGGTAAGTGGATCTTTCGAAGAAAGATGAAAGCGGATGGGTCAATTGACAAATATAAAGCTCTGCTAGTTATCAAAGGATACAGACAGCAAGAAGGCCTTGATTACTTTGATACGTATTCACCTGTGACAAGGATTACATCCATTCGCATGGTGATTGCAATAGCAGCTTTACGTGGTTTAGAAATACATCAGATGGATGTAAAGACAGCTTTCTTACATGGAGATTTAGATGAAGAAATCTACATGGAGCAACCCGAGGGTTTTTCAGCTCCAGGAAAAGTAAGAAAGTTTGTAAGCTTGTCAAGTCATTGTATGGTTTGAAGCAAGCTCCCAAACAATGGCATGAGAAGTTTGACAATGTTATGCTGCCAAATGGGTTTCGAATCAATGAGTGTGATAAGTGCGTATATGTTAAAGACACTGACAAAGGTTATGTCATTTTGTGTCTATACGTTGATGACATACTCATTGTTGATAGCAATGATGAAATGATTAAAGCTACCAAAAAATTGTTAAACTCTAAGTTTGACATGAAGGATATGGGCCTTGTAGATGTCATTCTGGGTGTTAAGATCACCAGAACATCTGGTGGTATTGTACTTTCTCAGGCTCATTATGTTAATAAGATACTTGAGAAATTTGAAAAGTCAGATACAAGTATGTTTAGGACACCGGTAGACTTAAGTCTATATTTGACCAAGAATAATGGTGAGAGTGTCTCTCAACTAGAATATTCTCGGGTCACTGGGAGTTTGATGTATCTGATGAGTTGTACAAGGTCGGATATCGTCTACGCTGTTAGTAGGCTGAGTAGATATATGAGTAATCCTAATGCTACTCATTGGAAGGGCATTATGCGGGTGTTGGGGTATATCCGTTACACCTTGGATTATGAGCTGCATTATACCAGATACCCAGCGGTACTAGAAGGGTATAGTGACGCAAATTGGATATCTGATATAAAAGATTCCAAATCCACTAGTGGTTATGTGTTTACCCTCGGAGGGGCAGCCGTGTCTTGGAAATCTGCCAAGCAAACGTGTATCTCGAGATCAACGATGGAATCTGAGTTTATTGCTTTAGATAAAGCAACTGAAGAAGCTGAATGGCTTCGCCAGTTTGTTGAGGATATTCCACGTTGGCCGAAACCTGTGCCAGCTATCAGTATTCATTGCGATAGCCAATCAGCGATTGGTCGGGCACAGAGTAATATGTATAATGGAAAGTCTAGACATATCCATCGTAGACATAATTCCATACAACAACTACTCTCAAATGGAGTTGGCTCTCTAGACTATGTCAAGTCTAAGGACAACATTACGAATCCGCTAACCAAAGGTTAGCTTCGAGAGTTAAGTAGAAAAGTCGTCAGAAAGAATAGAGGTAGGCCTTGGTAAGGTTACCGGAACGGAAAACCCAACCTAGTTGACTGGAGATCACAAGATCTAGGTTCAAAGGGACAACCTAAACTTCGTGTAACGGGTGAGTCACTGAAGAGTTAAATCCTCTGCCCATTCCTTATACAGTGATGCCCTGTTGGGGGTGGAAGGTTAAGCTAATGCTTTTAAATGACCTTAGTGATGTGGTATAATGAAATACCGTATCTGAGGCACCTATGTGAGTGCGAAAGTGGGGCAACTTCTTTAAGAACTTGCTCAAGGCGAACTTTAAAAACACTCACAGAACCAGGCTAGTGTTCCAGGGCCATACCAGACACACCAGTGAGAACAAGAACAATGGTTGGACTAACTCCTATGTGAGGTCTATTGTCTCGGTTTACATAAACGGCAGAACAGTTCAAGACATCACGTTCACTGGTCAGCCAGTAAATCCGATAGGCTTTCACTACGAAAGGTTCAAGGCCAACAGCTACCTTTTCTGATGCAGGGTTAGTCTATGTGCTCTCTCTCTTTCCGAGTCTTTGTTGATAAACGTTGAGCATTTGTTATATTCGGTCAATTTTTATGCATGTGGGGGATTATTGGAGAAAAATAGTTGAATAAGAAATTGCCTCATAAATGTGTATATAACTCACACATTTAAGGCTCATCAGTTTTACAAAACTTATTGGGCAGTTTTGTTAGCATTAGTTGCCAGCCTTGATGGCTAGAGGCTCCTCCCCTCTCCCCCATGGTGTATAAAAGGAGGCCCTATTCCTTGAAAAAAAGATATAGAATTTTTCCTTGACATCCATACACTGTCAGTCTACTTCTCCTATAATTTTCTTTCTGAGAGAGAGTGCTGCCGTTGTCCGTTCGCTAAGCTAATTAGAAGGTGCTTCTGTTGTACCTGGTAAAAACCGTCGTATCTTGGGAAGTAGACGCCGGCGTACCTCCAGCACCCAACGGTGAGGCGGCGAATCTATTTTAAGGAGACTGTGGTATCACACAGGCTTCGGTTTGCTTCCTTTAACCATTTTATATTTTATCTTTATTTTATTCAGCATGTTATTTTTCCTGAGATTGAAGGTTTGTTTTGTTCATCTCATAATTTTGCGATATGCAATGTGAAATTATGTAATGCGAGTAGTTTTTCCCAACAATTTTTTGTTGTAAGTTATCATCTAGTTTGTAATTTAAACGGTATGTTTCTTTTTTTCATTGTATTGGATGTATTTCATTTACATCAGGATGTCTGCCGGGTGAGAGAGATTGAGATTGAGCATTGCATTTGAGAGAATGTTACTGTTTTTCTCAATTTCAAGTAAGATTTTTCAATCACTACTAAATTTGACACGTTTTTGAATGCAATGCAATTTTATTCAAAAATTAATTGTTTTGTCATATTAAGATAAGGTAATGTTAATATATGAAAATGGGGCATATTTTCAAACTTAATAAAATGGCCTCTGGACACGTTCTATGAGGCCAATCGAATTTTTGATAATTTATAAAAGAAAATAAATAGCTAAGTGATTTTGAGAAAGAAAGAGGCTAAAATGATGTTTTCAACCAAGATATCACGCTTAGAATTAATTAGTTTTTGCTTAGTTCATATTCGAAAAATTAAGGCGCGACAAGGACTGTTCTTCTTGTGGATATAGGCAGGATTTTGTCAAACCACGGAAATCTTACGTGTTCAATTGTGTTGATTTCATCTTTGTTTCTTTCCATTATTGTTAATATGTTGTGTGGTGTGTTATCGATGAACCTCGGTTATTTTTCTCCGGAGAACTTGGGCTAGACTTTGATTGGACAATGCTAAGCTAATGCATTTCAGCCATGCCATTCTTTTGAGAGATGCATGTCATAATTTATGTCAATTCACATGGTTCAATATGCTTAAGAAAACTGATTTTATCTCCTTGCGTGGTCTTGGGGGTTGCAAGACATTTCTAGTGTAAGTTTTCAATTAATCGAGTTTGCTAGGGGGGCGGGAGGATAAGACGAGAGACAAACTTAACTTTTGGTATTATGTGCACAAAATGCCTAGATTTGAATAAGTTGGATTCTAAAAAAGACAAGGGTCTTACCTAGGTGGCTTCATGCTTTTTAGCATGAGCTTTTATTGTTGCAACAACTAATACCTCCATCTCATGATAATATAAATTGTAACATCACTAAAGTCCCGAAAGTGCAAAGTTTATTGTTATTTATTTTCGAAAGTGGCAACAAAACCTCTCATGTCTCGAGAGGATAACAAGCAAAAGACAATAGACTCATGCCCCCAATGGGTACTGGGTAGCATACGGAACAATAATATTGCCAAACTTGCACATAGAAAAATTCCAGAAGGTAAAACAACATCGAGAATAAAACAAATTGATGAGCCTAAATACTAGCATGATTTGTAGAAGCATGAGAATCACCCCCAGTGGTAGTGGTAGTGGTAGTGGTAGTGGTAGTAGAAGTAGTAGTAGTAGTTGTTGTAGTCGTTGTCGTGGTGTTGACAAGCACAACCAATGGACTTCTAACAGAATGAAATGCATCTGACCATACTATCTCACCAAAATCATATCTCCCTTGAGATATCTTTCGCGGTTTGAGAGTAACATAGTATGAGACTTCTTCCCAGAAGCATGAAAAGAATAAGACCCTAGGCCATACCACTATTTCCACTCCATTAGGCTCCACAATGCTTACAAAATATATGGTTGTTTTCTTGGTGCCAACATTTCGAGCAGTTCTTTTGATGGTCATTGTGGACTGGAGATTTGGAACTGTTATGGAGGGATAATTCATGTTTGCATTGGTTCTATATCCTTTTGGACAACTTACAATGGTACTGGGAGAGGGTACAACAATGCGTTTTATTATATCTTCGGTGTAGCCAATATTACAGAGGTAGAGAATGTAATCACTAGTTTTCATGTCGTAAACCAACCCTGGATCCATTGCTCGGATGGGATCAATGTGGCCAGCACCAATGTCAAATGGATCGGCAATTTTTGTTATTCCTCCATATATGATGTTGTCATGGCTTGCGTCGCAGGTATAAGCTATTATTATTTTACAATACGAAGAAGATAGAGCAACAAGTCAGTTGGATTGAAAACATTACTCCTAAATTACTTATTGCAATAACAATAATACAAACCATATAATTTTTTTTTTTCCTCTCTAAAAAAGAAGTCCATAGAAGATGAAAAAGTACATTTTGTGTACTTTCTTAGTGGGGAATTTTTTTTTTTAATGTATTTGTAGCATTACTGTAATTGATGAGCTGCATTTTAACAAGGAAATGACTTCTCTCCATTTGGAGAGTTAATTGGACCGAACCAGTTCTATCCAATGGGCTCATCATATGGCTCACTTCAACAATTCACATCGTTGATTTTTTTATATATTTGTGTGTAAATTTTCCATGAAAAATATTAGATTGTTTTGATAATTGAAACCACATGATTTCATTGTATTTGTCTGCCAAAAAAATAAAATAAAAAATGGATGTCATATTTTCAAAATCATATTTGTTGCCTCTATATATATATATTGGAACAAAACTAATGCGAGGAAATCATTTGAGTATGATTATCAAAATCAAATCAATTTGATTTTGATTTTTTTCTTTTATGAATTATCTACCAATAGGACCTAATTAACTGAACTTGACAAGTCCTCCAATCCAGCCCATCTCTCCAAGTAGAAAAAAACGGAAGCTTTTAACGACATTAGTTGAGATTATAATACTGCTATATTGCTAATGCCATTGCAAAATTGTGAACAAAATTAGAAAAACATAATAACGTACTGGGACCAATTGATAAAACACAACACAGACAGAAAGAAACATTCATAAATTTGAAGACCAAGACAATTAATCCAATTATTTTGAATTTGTTAGGTAATTAATTAATTAATTGAGGAGATTACCTGTAGTCATGAGAGCAGATCTAATCGCCGCGGGAGACCAGTGAGGGTGTGCTGATTTAAGGAGGGCAATTACTCCAGAAACATGAGGGCATGACATTGATGTCCCTGACTGAAAATTCCAATTTACGGAGCGCACATCAAATGCAAATATTGAGGGCGGGGTTTTGATTGGCCATGCTGCTAATATATTAATCCCTGGTGCACTTATATCTGGCTGTTGTGTTGTGTTGCGTTGCGTTGCGTTGTTACCAAATGGAAAAACAAATTTTCATCAATCAAATTAATTATTAAGGAAATGATTTAGGTATCTAGCCAACTAGTTAGCATATATATATATAGAAACACACCCACCCCTACCTTGAGAATATCGGGTGAAAGTGAGCTTGGCCCCCTGGAAGAAAATGCATAAACTGCAGGTGCTTGTGACTTTTTGATAATCGTCATACTTGGTTTTATCTGCACTACAGGTTTACTTCGTTCGCATTGCATTTACATTTACAAATACAATATTATGTTAGTTACAACTATTTGCAATGTATATATATTATCACAATTAATTTATACTTCATATTCATGTTGCATCATCCCTAGCTAGTACTATTTGGTAATATTTTTGGTTTGCTTCTAATTGTAAATATGATGAGAAAACAAACAATAATGCTTCTATGGAGGCCAAAAAAAGAAAAAAAAAAAGAAAGGTGTGTCAAACTAGATTTAGTAACTTTTTAATTGTTTACAAAAAAAATGTGTAGAAAAATAGAGAGAGTGATGTGACAATTTATAGTGATTTTTTGACTAAAATTAAAAGTTGGCCCAAACCACAATAAGATTGAATATACTCTCTATATTTTATTTTCTAGATACTTCTTGTGATCAAATAGTATTTGAAGTATTTACACACAAGTTCTAATTTATGGACTTATACTTCATTAATGCCTAACTAAGATTTTTTGAATCTTCAATTCCTATTAAATTTTTAATAATTGGAATTACCTTTCAAACAATGATTGTTTATCATTTATGATTATCTATAAAGGAATATGATAATTTGATATTTATTTTGATTTTCAAAACTTTAAAATATTAATTTTCAAATTGAAGAAACTAAAAAAAAAAAAATTATGTACCAAAAAAAAAAAAAAACACTACACTGTTTGTTTCCAATTTTTTGAAAACAATTTTTAGAAATTCTATTTTCTTATTTTCCGTATTTTTTTTTATTTTTACTGATTTTTTTAATATTTAAAGCAATTTTTAAAAAATTTTAGACACCTCTAATATAAATACACTTAAAAAGTATAATTTTTGTAATTTTTTTTTAAAAAAAATTTACTAAATACCAAAAATACAAAAAAAAAATCGAAAATTTATCATATTTTTCGTATTTTTGTGTATTTATTAATTTTTTAAAATATTTTTTCACAAATATTTTACTTTTTAGATACATCTAAGTAAGGTATATCTAAAAAAGTAAAAAAAAATGCTTAAAATTTTTAAAATATTCACAAAAACAAAAAACCACGAAAAATAAAAATCTCCGTTTTCTAAAAACTGAATTTAGAAAACTGAAACCCAACACCTTTTTTTTTTTTGAAAAAATTGAATTATTTTTTTTTTTTTGTGTGCAAAACTAAAAATTGTGTCTATAAAGGAGTATGATGATTGAACATTGATGTGTAAAACTGTAAAAAAAAAATTATAAAATGAAAAAACTGACAATATTTTCAGTTTTAAAATTAAAAAAACTAATAATGTTTTCGGTTTTATTGGATAGTTGAATCAAATTAATAAGTAGAAGGGTAAAAATATTTAATCTTATGTTCTGTTTTTTTATCAGTTAGTGAACAATTATCTGAAATATTACTATGCAAAATTGATAAGATTGTTAATTTTAAAAATTAAGAAAAACTAATAATATTTTTAGTTTTACTAAATGAATTACTATAATATTTATAAATAGGACTTTTATATCTATGATTACTGCGGAAGTCTTAAATAAATACCCAATCCAATAGCTTAAACTCGATTATGTATGGCTGTTGACTACTTGTTTAGAGTGCTTACTTGCGAGATATATCAAGATAATGATAGATTTGAGTCCCTTGGATAATGTCAACACGAATGGTGGGGAGGATATCAACATCAGCGATGATCTGCTTCCCTAGAGGCTCCACAAAGATCAAGGCCGTGGCGTTGGCTGTCCACGTTGCTTCTTCAGCCACATCAATTGACACTGATCCTACTAGTGACAAACATAAGATTACCTTGCCTATTGCTCGTTTCTTGTTCCAATAACGCTTCCTGCAAACCCTACAAATGACATCAAATCATCATATGACTGCATGGCATTAATGTGTATGCATCACTTTCCTAACTCTCTCTCTATATATATATGTGTGTGTGTGTGTGTGTGTGTGTGTGTGTGTGTGTTGTTTATTAAGAAATATAAAACAATACAAAATTATACTACTCTATGGTTGAGAGAGAGGTTACCCATCCTCAAAATAATCACTTGCATCCACCAATTTTGCTTTTATTTGTTTGGCAGTTAAGCTTTCTCCCTGAACAAACAAGAAAGGAGTCGTATATTTATTTATGAGCACTACTAAATGGTAATGAATGAATCATCTTAAAGGAGGGTCATACGTACGGTTATAGAGAGGTTAGTATCAATCAATATCTGGGTTGGAAATGTTCGATCAATAGAGGAAGCAGCTACACAAAGGCTCCAAGGGGCAACATTTTGGACTAGAGATAGATCTGGCCCATCATTCCCTGCTGAGAACACCACACTAACACCCATCTGCATAGCATGAAATGAACCCACATCATTGCTTGATTCAAACAATGGAAGCAACGGCGGCGTTTTACCAAAAGAGGCTGATATGACATCTACTCCACCATCGTAGGGCATCATCAAACCCTGCCATTATATCTGCTTCACTGCATCTCCCGACAAGATTTTGACTCCAACAGACTTTGTACACTGCTAGCCGAGCCTTTGGAGCTCCTCCCCTAGCAATGCCCTGTGCAAAACCAAAAGAGCTTGCATTTTTAACTATACATCCAACTGCTGTTGAAGCTGTGTGAGTCCCGTGCCCATTAAAATCTCTAGGTGATCGATATTCTGGGTTGCTACTCGGATTTATAGGACCGTAGTCTTCCTCAAAACCTTTGAGATAGTATTGAGCTCCAATTAGCTTCCGGTTGCATGCTTTTGTTGGTTCAAAATTTTCTCCTGCTACACATTTTCCCCTCCAAGATTTTGGAATTGGCCTTGTGCCAGCTTCCTCCCTAAAACTCTCAGATTCCGGGTAGACACCTAGAGGCCAATCATAATAAGTAGACGCATTCACATGTAACAGTTGCAATAGAGAAGACACTATATCTATACGACGCCACTTCATACCCATAAAATTTACCTATAATCCTACCCAAAAAGTAAATCAATGAATTTCATTTATTATAATTTTAAATCTACACCATACACCCTATTTTCGGGATAAATTTTTATGGTCCATAGCATTTTTGATACAATAATTCTACACACCTATAATTTTATCCAGAAATCGCAATCAATGGCTTATATTCATTCTATACATAGATTTTACACTATATCAATTCAATTTCTACCACGCAAACACATTTGGGATAAAAATATGGGACAATTTTCTAGATTAGGAGGATTTTCTTGGCAACCAAGGGCTGAGATTCTCTTGCCAGTTGCTAGATTATTATAAAAGTAGTAGAAATCTATTATGACCTATGTGGTGTATTTTTGTATTATGACTTATTGCAAGTCAAAAGGACCACTGATGTGGGTGTTTGATTGATAGTTTCTTAGCTCTAGTTTGTAGGGAGGTTGTTTCTCAGAATTTTGTTGTTGGTTTTTTAGGAGTGTTGGAATGCCTAAAAAATATTCAATTAATTTTTGGATCCAGCTCCTCCCCAGTGAAGGGTGCTGTTCGGCATTAGTGGGCCTTGAACCGGGCCATGTTGATAATCAAATCGTTCAATATATAGAATTCGTCAAATATATTATTCTTGTAAAAAATTACATTGATCAAGTTTATGATAATCTAAACCGTTCAATGTATAAAATTCATAGAGTATATCATTCATACAAAAAATCACATTGATCTGATCAATGTGATTTTTTTATTTTATAAAAATAATATATTCGACAAATTTTATACATTGAATGATTTAGATAATTAATATGAGCTCAGATCACGGCTCAACAGTATCGAATAACACCCTCATATATTCGACAAATTTTATACATTGAATGATTTAGATAATTAATATGAGCTCAGATCACGGCTCAACAGTATCGAATAACACCCTCCTTGGAGAGGAGTTGATCCCTTCTTCTTTTTTTTTTTTAATTTTTTTAATTTTCCCTTCTTCTTTTTTTTTTTTAATTTTTTTAATTTTTATTGAGATTAAAAATCAATAAAATTAAATCTAGTCATTCAGCATGTGGGACCACTAAAATTGCCATAAACTTCATATCTACCTATTGACTAGCCATTTGCATGGCTTACCCTGCGGAAAGGTCAACGGACCTAGAAGTTCTTGCAAAGCTCCATCACTATACGCTCCGTTTATTTGTGTAAAAAATATTTTTTAAAAAATATATTTTATATTTTTTAATATTTGATATAATAAAAAATAATAGTCAACGGAATTTTTTTTTAACGGTCAATAAAAAATAAATTTATTTAAGTAGAAAATATTTTTTATTTACAGAAAACGTTTTTAAAACTAAAGTTTTATCAATGTTACCACACCATTATCACCACTCTCACCTCTACCACCATCACCATCACCACAACCACTGCCACTGTCGTCCCACCACTATGCCACCACCTCAACCACTGCCACTGTCGTCCCACCACTATGCCACCACCTCTACCTACACCTTCGTTCCCACCTCTACCACCACCCAACATTGGGAAAAATATTTTCTCCATAAAACATTTTTTGGGAAAAAATTTATGTAAAAAATATTTTCTACCCAAACAAATGGGAGACTAAATGATTGAATATTTTTATGGAATTTATATATTACCTTTCCTTTTGTATCGCATTCCATCGTTAAGACAATCTGCATCCGATTTCATAAATTTTGAGTGAAATTATAACAAAAACAAACTATTTTTGTATTTTAGCTAGCATTCTTTTTTATGAAAACACTCTATCAGATTCTCTATTTTAAAATTTAATTTTATAAAATATTCATTTCATTCATTTTCTTTTATATTTAAATAATTTTGAAATTTTGTTTCTAACGGTCAACCAGACCAACACCATTACTGGATATGTCAGCCGACCTCCTAGCCCAGACGACTGGGCGGACATCAGCTTAGACAACCAGCGTGTTAACTGGGCTACTGTGATGGAATTCAAGAAAGTTTGTCAACCGAGACTGTTACCTTTGTCAATCAGATTTGACAACGGGCTGCCTATAACTAAGGCTGGACAACCGGACAACGAAGGAGGACAACCTGCAGGACATCCTACAGGATGATCTCTTTGGGTAATCCCTATTGCAACGGTCATTTGCTGAGATCTCTAGAATAAATAATAAAATATTGTATAATCTATAAACAGTGCATTGTTACATTAAGTGATATACTGCAGCAATGTCAAATTTAGTTTCGATGTAGTCAGACTGATGCAAGAGTGATTTTGGACCTTGTCTTACTAATATAGCCTCAAAACTATTATAGTCAGGCTGATGCTGATGCTGATGCGGATGCTAATGCTCAACACTCTATTTTCTATATACACTATATATATATATATATGTTGTGTTTTTTTTTTTTATCAGCAAAAGAAATTTTCTGTGAATATCAATTACCAATGTTTGAAGAAATAAAACAGACTTCTTATTTACTTATTCTGTTGGGCAATATAATGCAAGTCCAAGGCTTTGTTCTGTAAGTGCATACAATACAAAGCCATGCCACTGAATCTTGGAGAGTGATCGCCGGAGTCCATTTGCACCGAAATCTACATATCACTTCTTAAGGACAGCGGACAATATCCACGCCTTGGCATATTTGTTCGATAAGTTTTCTTGTATTTTTATGCCCTGTGATTTCTGTTCATTGCCCTTATTTGTATCAAACCAGTTTGTTAATCAATTAAAGCATCCATTTGAGAATCATTTTTCCAATAGGGAGTGTTTTTTATTTTTCTTTTTTTGGTTGTTGGCTTCTGGACGACTGTTCCATTCTCCACTTTTGTAATGTTTTATTGAATTAATAATATGACTTTCTTTGCCAATCCAAAAAAAAAAGAAAAAAAGAAAAAAAGAAAAATGGTGTCTGACATAATTGGTATGTATTTAAAAATTCTATGTGTATTGGTCCGTTCATAATACATATTAGTTAATAACTGATTCACAATCAATATAACCAGCTTAACTATTATATCGATTCGTTTATTTTGATATTGCTTCTTAAAACTTTGATCATGTCATGCCATCATTATTTAATCAACATGAAAAGACTATAATCATCAACATGCATGCATTGTCATAAAAAAGCTTCCATACGCTTTTGGTAAAATATAACATAGGTGCAAAAAGATAGCAGAGCAATAGACAAACAAGAAGTTCAGCCAATTAGGTTTTGGTTACAGGATAGAACAATGAATATATATATATATAGAAGTGAGTGCAAATTTTTGACCTGTATCAAAGACTCCAACAATTACGTCATCACCATAAGCTAGTTGCAATGGAGTCGCTTCAGTACCGCTTGACAAGGTAAGGCCCAAGAAGTCCCAGCTTCTTGTGGTGTGCAACTCTAATATTCTGCTCCTAAACACCGAAACCACTCCATCCATCTCTGCATTTATTTATTATTCCTCATTAAAATAAAACAAAACAAAACAAAATAAAATATAGAAAACTTTGTTCAGGATCTTAAGAAAATTTTGACATAAAATTAAAGCAATTTTAGAAAGTAGATAAATGGGTTAGCTTATATTACGAGCCAAGGCTGTTGCTTGGGTTGAATTAATCATTGCTGAGAAACCAGAGAAACTGTGTTTGTAGCTGTACAGCATGGATTTTTCTGCCTCTTCTTTCCTATTAAAACAAAAGAAAGAAAGAAAGAAAGAAAGAAAGAAAGAAAAAAAAAATAGTCTAATTATTTTAATTAAGTTATAATTGGCTCCAATTTAGAATTGAAAGCTTTTGAGCTAACAATTAAATTAATACCTTTCAAAGACATTAGAGAGCAGCTGAAGATGATGATTAGTAGTAAGGAGAGGATCGTGCATTTGGTTCAGCCCTAAGTAAACAATGTAAACCTGTGTAAAAGGAGAATCAAAAGATAAATTAACTAAAGAAGAGGGATGGGAGATGAGAGATGATTAGAAAACAGTTTGAGCACTTTTTTGGTTTATGAAACAAAGAACATACATGAGAGGTGGATAGTGATTGCATGAAATAAAGTGAAAGTGAGAAGAATAGGCATAGGCCCCAAAAACACTGAAAAGAAGAAGTGGCCATTGTCTCCCATGCATGGAAAAACTAACATGGAGGGTTGGGATTAAATACTGTCAAGTAAAAAAGGCAATGGAAAAGGAGAATGGTTGTGGAGTAACAACGAGTAGTGAGAGCATGCGTGCATTTGAAGGCTTCCAATTCAGAGCTGCAAGAACAACACTGGCATACCAGCTTCCATGGAACCATCATCATGATATTTTCCCTTCTAAGCTATAGTTGATATTTCTTTGATAAAGATGGGTGATACTATCATATACATATATACATACATATATATGCACCTCCAAGCCCCATTTCTCTCCTTTTTCCACATTTGCTTTTGTACGTAGGGGTAGGACTACTAGTACTCTAGTATATGTATGAGTGAGTGAGAGACAGACTCTCTTGGTCTTGGGTGAATTACAGCCAAAGACCACCTTCATAAAGCTCCATCATAGTTACTATGAATACTTCCAAGAGAAATGCATGTGCCCTTCATCATTATCTCTTATGGAAAAAACTTTCTTCTACATATATATATATATATATATATAACCCTCATTAATTAATTAGTAGACTAAGATAACAACTGCAACTTAATATTTGTGGAATTCTTAGTGCAACTGAGGTACATTACATCAATGCAATGGATTTCATAAAGATGAATACATCTTGTACATGACAATGAACACTACATAAATTGTACTGAGGTAATAACTTTCATTAAGTCTTTCTGCTTTTTGTACCTTACTTTCTGTATTAAATTATAAAAACTTAAACTAAGCTGGATAGTATTAGTTGCATCAAACTATAAACATATTGTGTACATATCTTATATTCTACTGACTAGCATTCTACAAATTAAACTAAGTTTAATTCCAACAGTCATGAACTATCAACAATGTAATTATAAAAAAATAAATAAAGAAGAAGAAGAAGAAGAAGAAAACAGAATGTAGAAATAAAATCTCATTTAGGTAACATTCCTCATCTAGACCATTTAAGATCTTTAAAGCTGCTTTAGGTATTAATTACATATAAAAACAATTGGTGGATGAGAATTAATTAGAGGTATATATAGACTGTATTAGTAAGACTTATATCCTTCATTAGCTAACATAAACACATCTAGTAAGCTGTGTAGGTCTATATATTCTAATCCTTTAAGCTATTTTCTTTGTTCAAGTGTAAACAATCATTTAACCTAGCAGATGATATATTGAGTAATGAGAGACTCTTATATAGGTAGAGAGTGTATACACTAGGCAAAATAAACACCTCTACAAAACAGTGTATAACTAGTGCAGCCCGCTACAAACTTTATCCATGAGTAGAGTAATTAGGGATTGTATATTAGATATTAATGCTTCTTTCATTATTTATTTTTAGTTGGTTGCATTTATTTGATTACATATCTATCAAATTTACATCTTAAGCACCTACTCAAGAAAATGAAGCTCTAGAAGATGAAAAAATAAACCTACCTAAGTATCTATATAATGATCAACATAGGTAACTCTAATGTTAAAATTATCTATTCTAAAAATATAAACTAATTTGACTTAAAGAGGTTTATATGCAACAAATGGAATCATTGCTAAACTAGATTTTTGTTCAATACGTTGCGTAAATTAAGCTCAATTCAGTTGCTTAGTTACAATCTTATAATCAAGGACCTAAGACTTACGAAACACGATTTACCTTCCAAGATGAACTTATCATTAGACCTTCCATATGAACACTAAGAACATGCTTTGCCAATAGGCAACCAATTTCATTGACAGGAACCTATGATTGCATCTTCATGCATCATAATTTTGATTGAACTAAAGCATCTAGTTTGCTTTGATAAGCAGGGATTTCAAGTGCAAAAATAAGATTTTTTTTCTCTCTTAGACCATTTTTAAAGTTACTAAGATTAAATAAGAAATTTTAATCCACCTTCTATGATAAGATATTTACGTAAGCCAACTAAAATCATTTGCAAAGAATCAAATTACATTTAAAGATTTATATTATTCCGAATTTGTATGTTGTAAAAGTATATGATATTAAATAGGAACAACAATTACAATTTTTCCAAGGAGCAGGATGTACAGATTTGTTGACAAGTCTGAGTGTATCTCAGGGTGAAAGTTGCTTGTAGATAATTGAGAGAAGTAAAGGAAAGGTCATTTTAGAGGTTGAATGACAAAAATAGCACAGCAAACCACATAATAATTTGCAGTGATAATTTAAACCTTTTCGGTAGGAAACCAATTGAATGAACATTCATTTAGTTAACTTACCAATTAGAGCTCTAAATGTATAGCTTCAAAATACAATATGGGCTATCAAAAGGCACTTGCAGACAAGCCATTTTAACTTTCCTATCATCTAACAACACTTGGTGTTTTGACAGTTTACTTTCAGTTTCGTTGGCTTTAGTTTACACTTTGAAGAATGTGTTCCAAACCATCCTACTACAACTCTAAAAAAAAAAAAAAAAAAAAAGAAGAAGAAGTAAATACTCAATCAATCTAGTTAGGTCCTTACTTTTATACTATCTTAATGCTTCTGTTTCCATGTGACAATAATGCCCATTGGTTCATATAAAAATCTTGAGATACGAGAATCACGACATATAATATAATAATTGTGAATGTCTTAAAACATTTGGAATTGAAGATCCCGTGTCATGCCTAGTATTAGGGTGTGTTTATATATAATGTGAGAAACATATGCTCCCAAATGTCAAAAAATAGCCTGTTGACCATTAGGACAAAATGGCTAGCTGAATGACTTTGGAGGACAAAATGGCTTGTGTAATTTCCATATACTAGCTAACTAGCTCAGGAGGGGAGGGGGGGCGGTGTTACTAAAATTTTGAAGATATCTATTCAAGCTTGGGAACGGGATGAATCAATTGGTGTACATTAGGTGCAGCTGATGAAGTTGATGTGATGATTGAACTCAAGATTGATAGTTTGCATATATTGTGTCAATTCATTTAATTGGCAATAGTGTGATCTAGTGATTTAATTAATTATTATTAATATGAAAGTATTGATCTGTTCCCTGCCCATGTTTATGATCATTTATGTAAAGATTAACATATTATTAATAGTATTGATTGCAGGGCATATATCCACATTGTCAATTATTCATTATTTATCACTAGAGAGAGAGAGAGAGAGAGAGAGAGGTCAAAACAAGTGATTGTCTTAGTCTTGCTTTTCCAAGTCACTCAGAAAGAACTCAGAAACCATCTCGATAGAAAGAACACAAAAGATTGATCCATCTCGATCATCTTCCCTCTACACTATACTCCTAAAATCAGCTATCATAAACATATTTGTCCTCTGCGTTTTGTCATGTCATCTCTCCAAAAAAAAAAAGCCAATTATTTATTAATCCTCTTTGGCTTTAGCAATTTGACTACTGCTTCAATTGCGTTAATTAACCCATTTCACTGCTTTAATGCTTTAACTTTTTGATGATTAGGTGTCCAGATTAGCTTACGCGAACCTCGACTAATCTTGAGGCCTACGTAAAGTGCCCCTTTCATGTGGATTGGATAAATCTCGATCAAAATCTACAAGCGTGACCCTATGAAATTGATATATCACATAGTGCACTGCAAGAGAAAGCACCTTTGCCGACTAATTTTGGCGACTAAAATTGATTTTGGTCGGCATTGGTTCTATATTTACCTACTAAAATATTTTAGTCGGAAAATATTCTCAATTAGCAACTAAATTTTAAATTAGACGGCAAAAATTAGACTTTTTAGCGACTAAATAAAAAATTAGTCGTTGTTGGTGTACAATTTAGGCAAAAAAATTAAAATTAAATCTGTATTATACACTTTTTCCCGACTAAAATACTTATTAGTCGCCAAATTGGCTTTACTGACCAAAAATTTCGTCACTAAAGGCTGATCAGTCATTCATTTCCCGACTAAAAATAATTTAGTCGGTAAAAAGTTGAGATTCGAACTTGCGCCACTTCATTAAGTGATGCGCGCGCGTTGCTGGTGACGTATAGGCAACCATCTCACACACTGAACCACAGTGTATCACACACACCTCACCAAATCCCTTACAGAACTCAGCCCCCTCATCGTATTCTACTGTACGGGCGACGCACAGACGGCCACCTCCACCACCACTGGCGCCAATCACCACCGTCTCAGCCCTTGAATCACAGGTTCTCTCTCGCTCTCTCTCTCTCTATCGCTTTGGTGTTGTGCTTCTCAGTCCATCTGTGCCTCTCTTGCCCGAGCTCTCTGGAAAAGGGCGTATCTATGTCTTTGTCTGTCTCTGTGTCTCTCCATCTCTTTCTCTCTATCTGCATCCCCCTTTCCCCATGTTTTGCCCCTATTTCAGACCCGTAGCTTGCTGTGCAATGTGTGTGAATGATGTTTGAATGAACAATCTGAAATCAATTTGTAAGCAATTTTTAATCATTCAGTGTGTGTAATAATAATAACAATAAAGGCTTCAGTGTGTGTAACAATCAAATGATTGATGAAAATTTGAATTTTCTTGAACTCCTGTATTATACAAATTGAAAATTTGAATCACAAGTTTTTCTTTTTGGTTAGGTTTATGTACTCAACCCATATATGTCACTGAAATCCACTAAGATAATTTGAATTTTCATCATTAGCCCCCCTAATTGATGTGAAAAAAATAAAAGATTTGACCATGAAATTATATGGAAAACATTTTATGCAAATACATGTATAACAGATTTTTTTTAAGTTTTTCTGATTTTGAAAGCGTTCATGTCTAATTCAATTGGAAACAGAGTACCACATTCAATACATAACAAAGAAAATAAAATTGGGGAGAAGTGTGCTCAAGCAGCCATGGGTTAGTCGTCAGATTCTGGGATCGAAACCCATATCAGATTCTGTGCTCACTAACCTTGCAACATGATGTTTAATGTCTCTCTCTATGATTTTCTCTCTGCCTCCCCCCTTCTGTGTCTCCCCCTATTTCTAGCATTGTTGCTGTTTTATGTGTGTGAATAATGTGTAATGTGTATGAATGATATTTGAATGAACAATGCCAAATCAATTTTTAATCAATTGATTTTTCTGTGGTTTAATTATGCGTGTGTAAATTTAATCAATAAGAAATCACAGAAACAATTCCAATGATAGCCTCCTTATTCAATTAGGAAATGCCATGTTGTTTGAATATATGGTAGCAGGAATTTCTAATGGCAATTGTATAATCATTTTGTTTAATTAAAGTAGTGATAACCAACATTATTCATGATAGGTATAACTATTTCTTCTTGGTTTGTATGGCATAGCTCAGGATTGAAGGAAAATTCTTATGTTGCTTGTTGACCTGTACATGGACTAGATTACGGAAGTCCTTTTTAATTCCTTCAAAAAGGGCATACCATAATAAGATATATAAGTCTCCTATACATCTTATGTCAAATCTGTAACTGTTGACCTGTAGACATGACAATTTTTTTCCAAGGTCTACTCCAAGATAGTATGACGATTTCTACAAATCATATGTATCTAATCTTTTTACCCTTAGGGCTTAGATGAAGCCCTACTCAACGAACAGAGGCGGCACTAATATGAAAATAAAGATGATAAATCCAATATGTAAATGTAATCAGTCTATTCATTTAAACTTGCTATTTATCACATTGGCAGGTTCCACATAGGGAATATAATATACTTATAGTCATCTATCGTAAAATATACTTATTCGTCTAACACTTAAATATATATAAAAGTCATCTGTCTTAATTAAGAAGTCAAAATATGACGATCATATCATTCCGTTGTTGAGTATTTTTGTTTATTTGTTGTCCATTCCTACGTTAAAGTTTGCTTCACTTGTAGGGTTCACAAGATGGACAAGAGTTGGATGATGATAAAAGATAGGTTGAAAAGTAAAGAGTACCAACAAGGTGTTAAGTCATTTATTGACTTTGCTACGAAGGATTTAGGCCCACACGATGAAATACGTTGTCCGTGTGTTGATTGCTTGAATGACACAAAACATAGTCCACAAGTTGTACGCCTACACTTAATTCGAAGAGGAATCGTGTGTTCTTATAGAACTTGAGTGCACCACAGGGAACATGTTCCACTGTGTCATGACCATCCTAGTGCATCAAACATTGATGGTGAAAGATATGGAAAATGTAATTTTTGACATTGATGATAATTTGGGTCGGAGTTGAACCTCGAACAAACTAGCTCCAGAGGGAAAAAAGATGGACTCCCAGACAAGAGAGGGAAGACCACGTACCAGTACTGACTAAAGGAAGGAATTAGCGCTCGGGAATCTCTGGTCATAATTCTGGTATTTATGCTTGTTAGGATTTTTAATCCTAAACTTGTGTTGCATCAACATTTATTTTGGCAAATTCCACGACAAAACAGTTTCATTTTATTTCTATTTCTTAGTTGGTTGTGTTTATTTTTTGTATCGACGTTTTGTCTCATTATCTTCTTGATCTTTCAAATTGCTTTTAATGGCTGGGAGTTTCAAAGTTTCAAAATCTAGTTGTAGACAATTTTGGTGGCTCAAATACTTTGTGATCAATTGATTATTGACATAATCAATTTGAGATTTTGTGGAATAATTTTTCAAAGCATGCCTCAAAATATGTATCATGATCTTTCTTGAAATTGTTTCTTTTGTTATTTTTGCATGTGCAATATCTTTTTGGGATTATACATTGTAAAGTTGCAGATTTGTTGGTTTGAAGGTGGTTTGGCATGTGTTGCTAAAAGGCTTTGTTTTGTTGGCATAGGCATGTGCTACAAAATTGCTAGAGTGGTATTTTTGGATTTGGTTAGTCAACTCTAAAATATTTGGAGATAATGTTATTGAAAAATATGTGTGGAAGATTGTTAAGTTTTTTAGCCTAAAAGATGTGTCTATGCTAAATGAAAAGGTGACATTGCATGGAGAAAAGTTTGGCCAAAAGTAGCAGTAAAAAGTTTGCAAAATCAGCTGGTCTTGTTCACACCATCATGCCCTCGGTAAAGGCCATCGCGCTCGCGACCAAGCCGTGCACATACCATGACCAAATCAACTCCTAAAAGTTGGCTCTACATCCTGCGAAGAGAGGTCACACCCACGACCATCCAAGACCGTGACTGGGAGGAAGTCCTGCCCAGGCTTATTTAAGGTGGGCTCAGTAGGAACATTAATATATCTCTTGCACACCTTTTCTGAGCACTCTCTCCTAAGCTCTTCTGAGTATTTTTTTAATCTTTTGAGAGATCATTTTTATGAGTGAAACACATTTTTGTGAGAGAGATAATTTTGTTGTAGAGAGATTTTGGTAAGTATTTGAGAGTGAACTTTGTTGTGAGGATTACTATCTAATAACCTTAAAGCTAATCATTAAGCTGTTATAAGTCTTTTACTCCTTTCAATTGTGAACCTTCTTGGTAGATTCCAAGTTTGTAGACTTCGATGGATTTTGAAGTCATTGGTGTCGTGGCGATTCGACATCCGTTGCGGACAGGGGTGTGCAGCGGATGGCCCGACCCACCACACCCAACCCGACCCTCTGAGTTTTGGGTGGATGCGTGACATGTGGCGGACGGATACGGGTCCATATTTTTCATTTTCTCGGGTTCGGGTCGGGTCGCGGATAAACCACCAATTTTATTTGTTCACCCGACCCGCCTGTGCCCTCACTTATTTTCCCTCTTTTCCCCCCTGTGTTGCCTCTTTTTTTTTTGATTTCATGTTTTGTAGCCCTAGGTTCTTCAACATGTCTCTGTCTCTCTCAACTCTGCCTCTCTCTCTCACACTTGAACAAAGATGAGTGACGAGTGGTAATCGGCGACAATGGTAGCTAGCGGCGATCGGCAACAATAGTGGCGAGCAGCAATCGAAACATTGATTTGAAGGTATTCTTCTCTTCTCTTCTCTTTTCTTCTTTTCTTCTGTTTGGTCGTGGATCTTCTCTTCTCTACCTTTGTTCTGTGAGTGTGCTCTGTGTTTTCTCCTCTCTTTGATATTCTTTGGTAATGTTTTTTGTTTGGTTGATTTCAGATTCATGAATAAAATGTTGGAGGTAGATTGATGATTTTGTTTGTCTTTTTAGATTCAACTTATAGAAATGCAGAATCAACTAAATAAATGCTCTCAATTCATTTTGTTTCTTATATTGTTTTTTCTTTTGGAAGCGCACAAACAACCTCAGGCAATATGATTGTCAAGGAGAGCAGATAGGATTAAGCCAGTGGAATCTGTGGATTTTTTTTTTTCCTTTCCTTGTTTTAGTGTTTCTAATGGATCTTTGAAATTTGTGGTTGAATCTCTGAAATTTGTGGTCAGATGGTTGTGCTTTGTTTTTTTGCTTTAAAAAATTAATTTTCTTTTCTCAAGATTTGTTCCCATTTTATGTTATGCTATTGCCTTCTAAAAACCCAATTCTTGGATACAATATATATATATATATATATATATATTTTGTGCTTTCATGTTTTTGTTGTTTCTGTTGAATTCTTTGTAGTTGATGTGTGGTGAAGCCATTTTATAAGGGGGCTTTAGGAAATTTCTAATTTTGGTAGCTAAGGTGTTTGTCGTAATGCTTCTTAGACAGGTTTATGATTGTAGGAGGTTTTCTGTGGTGCTACATATACTGTGTGCACAATATAATATAGACAATATAATGCATATATGATTTATACTGTGTATGGCTCCAAAAAAATCTAAAATTTATACTGTGTGCACAATATAAATTATGTTGAACTATATTGAAAATTTGTTGAATTATGTTGAGGAAGTGCGATGTTAAATTATGTTGAAAATTTGTAAAATTTTAAGCCGCTAAACCAATTTGTATCCATCCGCCAATCCGTTCAATCCACATCCGCCGGATTGGCGGACGGATGCGAATTGATTTTCCCCAATCCGCCAATCTGGCGGACGGATGGCGGATTGGAGGTTCCGTGGCCGCAACCGACCCGCGCCCATCCCTAGTTGCGGAGATCCAGTGGAGGAAGAAGTGTGACTCGTAGGTTGGACAAACGTACGTGCCTGGAGTGGCCTTTGTAAGATGTTTCTTGTACTCTTTTCTTTCATAGTGGATTGTTCGCTTGACCGAGGGCCCGTGTTTTTTTATCACAAGTTGGTGGATTCCAATTGTGATTTTTTCACATAAAAAATCTTTTGTGTCGTCGTTTAATTTTATCTTTCTCTCTCTCTCTCTCTCTCTCTCTCTCTCCCTCTCTTTCTCTCTCTTATCTACATTAATCATGGTGGTATAATTTTTAATTTGAATTATCTAAATTGACAATCACTTATCAGAGGACAAATCTAGATTTTCAAAAGGAGTTTTTGATAAAACTAGATTTTTCAATTGGTATTAGAGAGGGTAGCTTGTATTTTGTTTTCTCAAAACTATAGGAGCGTAATCCTTAAGTGTTTTTTTGATTATGGATTCAAATAATGTTTCTCATAAATCTCATTTGCTCAACGGAACCAACTATAGTTTTTGGAAAGCTCATCTCTTTCTCTCTATCTGCATCCCCCTTTCCCCATGTTTTGCCCCTATTTCAGACCCGTAGCTTGCTGTGCAATGTGTGTGAATGATGTTTATTGTGTGTGAATGATGTTTGAATGAACAATCTGAAATCAATTTGTAAGCAATTTTTAATCATTCAGTGTGTGTAGTAATAATAACAATAAAGGCTTCAGTGTGTGTAACAATCAAATGATTGATGAAAATTTGAATTTTCTTGAATCCCTGTATTATACAAATTGAAAATTTGAATCACAAGTTTTTCTTTTTGGTTAGGTTTATGTACTCAACCCATATATGTCACTGAAATCCACTAAGATAATTTGAATTTTCATCATTAGCCCCCCCAATTGATGTGAAAAAAATAAAAGATTTGACCATGAAATTATATGGAAAACATTTTATGCAAATACATGTATAATAGATTTTTTTTAAGTTTTTCTGATTTTGAAAGCGTTCATGTCTAATTCAATTGGAAACAGAGTACCACATTCAATACATAACCAAGAAAATAAAATTGGGGAGAAGTGTGCTCAAGCAGCCATGGGTTAGTCGTCAGATTCTGGGATTGAAACCCATATCAGATTCTATGCTCACTAACCTTGCAACATGATGTTTAATGTCTCTCTCTATGATTTTCTCTCTGTCTCCCCCCTTCTGTGTCTCCCCCTATTTCTGGCATTGTTGCTGTTTCATGTGTGTGAATGATGTGTAATGTGTATGAATGATATTTGAATGAACAATGCCAAATCAATTTTTAATCAATTGATTTTTCTGTGGTTTAATTATGTGTGTGTAAATTTAATCAATAAGATATCACAGAAACAATTCCAATGATAGCCTCCTTATTCAATTAGGAAATGCCATGTTGTTTGAATATATGGTAGCAGAAATTTCTAAAAGCAATTGTATAATCATTTTGTTTAATTAAAGTAGTGATAACCAACATTATTCATGATAGGTATAACTATTTCTTCTTGGTTTGTATGGCATAGCTCAGGATTGAAGGAAAATTCTTATGTTGCTTGTTGACCTGTACATGTTCAACAAATTCCCTGTATTCGAATCAGAAATTTTGCAAATCAAATAAAAGCCCTCAACATTGCAAATCAAATAAAAGCCCTAAACATACATCTCATAAATAAAATAAAAAAAATCAGAAATTTATATTAAATCCCTACATTACACTATTATTATAGTAATATTCAACAAATTCCTTTTTTCCAGTCAGAAATTTTGCAAATAAAATATAAACTCTAAATATATATTTTCGAAGTAAACCATTTTCACATACATTTCATCAAATCAAACACAGAATACAAACAAATTTATAAGAAAAAAGATGGAAAAAAATATTCGAAAATCATCAACACACATTTTAAAACACTATTCGAAGCTTACAGAGTTCGAAGTCTTACCTGGAAGCCGTAACAGCAACTTCTCACCGATGAAACTCTTTTACATTGTGTACTGGCAACGACGATCGGTTCAAAACCTCAAGCTTTTTCGTCTTCTTCACAATCGACGATCGGTTCACGACGATCGCCTCCCTCTCTCTTTTCTTTCTCTGAACAATTCGATTTGTATTGTGAATGTATGATTAGGGATTTTGTGAACAAAGGGCTTTTTGGTCTTTTTGCAAGAAAAAGCAAGGGTCACATGGTCATTATCTATTGGACACTAACGTCGTTTGGGCAAAATAGACGGAATGGGGGAAACTTGACAATGTCAAGTAAAGTAGGGGGTGTTACTGTAATTATTCAAACCACAGGGGAGGTCCCTGTATTTGTCAGAAACCTCAGGGGAGGTAAATGTAATTTACCCTTGATAATTTGGGTCGGAGTTGAACCTCGAACAAACTAGCTCCAGAGGGAAAATAGACGGACTCCCAGACAAGAGAGGGAAGACCATGTACCAGTACTAACTAAAGGAAGGAATTAGCGCTCGGGAATCTCTGGTCATAATTCTGGTATTTATGCTTGTTAGGATTTTTAATCCTAAACTTATGTTGCATCAACATTTATTTTGGGAAATTCCACGACAAAACAGTTTCATTTTATTTCTATTTCTTAGTTGGTAGTGTTTATTTTTTGTATCGACGTTTTGTCTCATTATCTTCTTGATCTTTCAAATTGTTTTTAATGGTTGGGAGTTTCAAAGTTTCAAAATCTAGTTGTAGACAATTTTGGTGGCTCAAATACTTTGTGATCAATTGATTATTGACATAATCAATTTGAGATTTTGTAGGATAATTTTTCAAAGCATGCCTCAAAAGATATATCATGATCTTTCTTGAAATTGCTTCTTTTGTTATTTTTGCATGTGCAATATCTTTTTGGGATTATATATTGTAAAGTTGCAGATTTGTTGGCTCGAAGGTGGTTTGGCATGTGTTGCTAAAAGGCTTTGTTTTGTTGGCATAGGCATGTGCTACAAAATTGCTAGAGTGGTATTTTTGGATTTGGTTAGTCAACTCTAAAATATTTGGAGATAATGTTATTGACAAATATGTGTGGAAGATTGTTAAGTTTTTTAGCCTAAAAGATGTGTCTATGCTAAATGAAAAGGTGACATCGCATGGGGAAAAGTTTGGCCAAAAGTAGCAGTAAAAAGTTTGCAAAATCAGCTGGTCTTGTTCATACCATCATGCCCTCGGTAAAGGCCATCGAGCTCGCGGCCAAGCCGTGCACATACCATGACCAAATCAACTCCCAAAAGTTGGCTCTACATCCTGCGAAGAGAGGTCACACCCACGACCATCCAAGACCGTGACTGGGAGGAAGTCCTGCCCAGGCTTATTTAAGGCAGGCTCAGTAAGAACATTAATATATCTCTTGCACACCTTTTCAGAGCACTCTCTCCTAAGCTCTTCTGAGTATTTTTTTAATCTTTTGAGAGATCATTTTTATGAATGAAACACATTTTTGTGAGAGAGATAATTTTGTTGTAGAGAGATTTTGCTAAGTATTTGAGAGTGAACTTTGTTGTGAGGATTACTATCTAATAACCTCAAAGCTAATCATTAAGCTGTTATAAGTCTTTTACTCCTTACAATTGTGAACCTTTTTGGTAGATTCCAAGTTTGTAGACTTCGATGGATTTTGAAGTCATTGGTGTTGTGGCGATTCGACATCCGTTGCGGAGATCCAGTGGAGGTAGAAGTGTGACTCGTAGGTTGGACAAACGTACGTGCCTGGAGTGGCCTTTGTAAGATGTTTCTTGTACTCTTTTCTTTCATAGTGGATTGTTCGCTTGGCTAAGGGCCTATGATTTTTTATCACAAGTTGGTGGATTCCAATTGTGATTTTTTCACATAAAAAAACTTTTGTGTCGTCGTTTAATTTTATCTTTCTCTCTCTCTCCTCTCTCTCTCTCTCTCTCTTATCTACATTAATCATGGTGGTATAATTTTTAATTTGGATTATCTGAATTGACAATCACTTATCAGAGGACAAATCTAGATTTTCAAAAGGAGTTTTTGATAAAACTAGATTTTTCAATTGGTATTAGAGAGGGTAGCTTGTATTTTGTTTTCTCAAAACTATAGGAGCGTAATCCTTAAGTGTTTTTTTAATTATGGATTCAAATAATGTTTCTCATAAACCTCATTTGCTCAACGGAACCAACTATAGTTTTTGGAAAGCTTGGATGAGTGCACATTTAAAATCTGTTGATGAAAGAGTTTGGCAATCCGTTATTAAAGGATGGAGTGAACCCATGATCACTGTAGATGGAGAAAGTATTCCAAAAGCTGTTGAAAACTAGAATACAACTGATTTTACTAATATAAATTGGAATAGCAAGACTATTAATGCTATTTTTGGCTATGTCACACAAGAAGAGTTTCGTCATGTAAGTATG